AACCGTCTATCATATTGGTTCTTTCCCAACACCAGTGTCTATATTTATAGCACTATCCATGACCTAGAGCCAAGCAGCAGCAAACATTCCAATCTCGCAGGTCAGCTTCTTACTGAAGGGGAAATCAGTGATATGCAGTCTGTGTATCCCCAAAGTCAGTCTTCATTTATTCGCACATCTACCCCAGACCTGGGAGAGAACTGATCACAGGCAGCATTCAAGGAAAACCATCTATTGGGAATCTATCCCAACACCAAAGCCCAATTCCTAGACTGTAAATCTGCTTCAAGATGTCACTCTAATCAGACATCACAGCAAAGAAACTCTCGTGTTTCTTCCAACCGTGCATACTTCAGTCCAACATCACAGCCTGTCTTCCCAAACATACATATTTGCTCCTACATTCAGAAAAACAACATGAACGCGTGTGTATAACAGCGCCACCTGGTGATTCCTGCCCTAATATTAACACACTGCAGTGTATTGTCCAGCCAGACAAGATTACTGCTAAAAATAATTCTGTCCGTTGAGAAATGCTCATTGGACTGGCTGAATTGTTTGCGCATGAAGAAGTGATCCCCAAGCTCATTCCCAAGTTCTCAGACAAGATTACTGCTAAAAATAATTCTGTCCGTTGAGAAATGCTCATTGGACTGGCTGAATTGTTTGCGCATGAAGAAGTGATCCCCAAGCTCATTCCCAAGTTCTCAAAAACAGTTCTTTTCTTGCCATCTTGTAAAACCTATCCGAGCAATTCAGGATTAAACTGAAGACAGTTCTCTTAGGGCTTTATTAGCAGCATTACCACACGGACAGGCTTGGAAGAACAGACAGGAGCTATTGGCTGCATCCAACCTTCCTCGGATGGAGGGAAGGTCAAAGCTACGTAGGCCCAAGGGGAAATCTGGGCAGTTGTCAGGATCACAAGTGACCCAATATAGGAAGAATCCCAACAACATATTTTATCCTTTGTTGTGGGCCTCTGACATGTTTTTAGGCCTGGGGACAGTGGTGGGGAGTTGAAGATTCATCTGCTTTTACTCAAGCTGGTGCTAAGCAAGGGAAGTGCAGCAGCTTTGCTGAGGTCTTTCATTGAGCCCCATCCACCTGCACCATTAGCATCCATATCCCTGCCAAGAGAATAGGGGCCCAGAGAAGTTTGGGGTGAGGAGACCTCGTAACCGCTTCATGAGTGTGTTCTTTAGACTCGTTGGCTATTCAACAGATTATGTCATGTGATAAAGTGAGTTTTACCCACAAAAGGTCATGATCTAATAAGTTTGTTCATCTCTAAGTTGCCACAGGACTGCTCGTTATTTTTACACTTACAGACTAACACTGAGACTTTTTACAAAACCAGCCTGTATTTTCCCTTGCAAGACAGAAACTTTCAAGTGTGATGTTGATTAGTACACGGTGTGTGAGATACTCTGCAATGACAGAATAACAACCCTTGAATCTAGAGATACAAATCCATCATTTTCCTTCATGTCCACTGTAGCAGTACCTGCCCTTTCTTTTCCAGTAACTTTAGAGTCTGTGGAAAGATCAATCTGTTCAGAAAAGTCCAAGACAGATGTGACACGTGCCTCTCACAACACCAACCTGGGAAGCTCAAGTCTTTTCCGTCCTTGTATGAGCTACAATTGTGGAGTCCAATGCGCTAGCCACTAACCACAAATGGCTATCTGGCCAGTTGACTGTGGCTAGTTTGCTAAAGCAATAGCCACTATAGTTGCTACTGCATCAGAACTGGATGAACACCACAGAGGAACAATATAATGAAACTTCTGCCAGTTGGCATTGAAGGGCTCCTCAGATCCCACTACCTGCTCTGCTCACATGGGCCCAGCTAACATATAGTTCCAGTTCTTTAATGCTCATCTCTTAGGTCCCATATGAAAGAATCATAGAATATTAGAACCAGAAGGAACCTCCAGAGATCATCAGTTCTAGTCTCCCACCCTCATGGCAGGTCTAGCATCATCTAGACAATCCCTGCTACATGCCTGTCTAACCTGCTCTTAAATATCTCCAGTGATGGAGATTTCACAATCTCCTTAGGCAATTTATTCTAGTGTTTAACCACCTGGACAGTTAGGAAGTTTTTCCTAACGTCCAACCTAAACCTCCCTTGCTGCAGTTTAAGCCCATTGCTTCTTGTTCTATTCTCAGATGCCAAGGAGAACAATTTTTCTTCCTTTTCCCACTGATACCCTTCTAGATACCTGAAAACCACTATCATGTCCCCTCTCAGTCTTCTCTTTTCCAAACTAAACAAGCCCAGTTCCTTCAGTCTTGCCTCACAGCTCATGTTTTCTACACCTTTAATCATTTTTGTAGCTCTTTTCTGGACCTTCTCCAATTTCTCCCAAATCTTTCTTGAAATGTGGTGCCCAGGACTGGATGCTATACTCCAACTGATGCTTAATCAGTAGTGCAGAAGAATAACTTCTCGTCTATTGCTCACAACACTCCTATTAATGCATCGTAGAATCACGTTTCCTTAACTTCTCTTTTTCTGTGAGATTTTGAGTCAGCTGGGAATTTACATCACTGAACCACAATTTGAATATTTCACACCCAAGTGACGCTGCCCTGCAGCTTATAAACGTTCCATGTCACTAGTAGCATTCGTTGATCAGCATCAGACCAGTCAGACGTAGCAAGATGATCTCACAGGCTCAGCTCATCTGGCTGTTAGTGCTCTGGGTCACAGGTAAGGATCAAAGGAAGGGGGTCTGGATCATTTAAGACACAATGATCTATGGTAAAATTTTAGAGAACTGAAAATGTTGTGTATGGACACAACCATTCTGCCATTCCTGACAGAACTACTGAAACAATGACTCCTGACTGCAAGTAAAAGGGAAAATCTGAGAAAAATATAAAAAATTGAAAACTGGGAATGAAAAAACCCAGCTCAAACAATATTAGCATCATATCCTTGCTTAGTTCGAATTAACTAATTCGAACTAAGTTAGTTCGAACTAGCGCTGTAGTGTAGACGTACCCTTTCTGAATTCAGACTCCAGTGGGCAGATTGTGATGACTCAGACTCCAGAATCCCTGGCAGTGTCTCCAGGAGACACAGTCACTATCCGCTGCAAAGCCAGTTCCAGTGTCACCAGTGGTAGTACTCACTTTGTAAACTGGTACCAACAGAAATTAGGACAAGCACCGAAGGGTCACAGGTAAGGATCAAAGGAAGGGGGTCTGGATCATTTAAGACACAATGATCTATGGTAAAATTTTAGAGAACTGAAAATGTTGTGTATGGACACAACCATTCTGCCATTCCTGACAGAACTACTGAAACAATGACTCCTGACTGCAAGTAAAAGGGAAAATCTGAGAAAAATATAAAAAATTGAAAACTGGGAATGAAAAAACCCAGCTCAAACAATATTAGCATCATATCCTTGTATGTCTATAAATTATATATTTATTCATGCTATGTGTATGGACTAGAGAAAGATACACTGTATATGTACATACTAATTAATATTCTGTTTGTTAATTAAGACTCCAGTGGGCAGATTGTGATGACTCAGACTCCAGAATCCCTGGCAGTGTCTCCTGGAGACACAGTCACTATCCGCTGCAAAGCCAGTTCCAGTGTCACCAGTGGTAGTACTCACTTTGTAAACTGGTACCAACAGAAATTAGGACAAGCACCGAAGCTCCTTATTTATTATGCATCCACCCGCACTTCTGGGGTCCCAGATCGATTCAGCGGCAGTGGGTCTGGCACCGACTTCACATTCACCATCAGCAGGGTTGAAGCGGATGATGCTGGAGAGTATTACTGTCAGCAGCATTATGATACCCCTCTCACACAGTGATACAGACCAGCACAAAAACCTGCCTGTGCAGTTCAATTCATGTCACAGCTGCTTCCTACATGTTTACTATCTGTGCGACTGCCACTCTTGATTGAGAGATGGGGAAGAGGACATGGGGTACATAAACTGCTGTTCTTCCACAGCTCCCCAGCCTGCAGCACAGACAGGAATAAGGACATCGCCTGGGTGGTTTTTATTCCAAATATCCCCTGAACTGCTCTTCCACAGGGTCAAAGATTTTGTTCCCCAAACACAAACAGTGACTGTCACTTACTGCCCTAGAAAGCTTCTGGGAGCATTTCAGAGGTAACAGACGTGGGCAGCCCAGGGCTTCATCAGCAGTGACACTGTGTGGGAAAAGAAAAGAGAATCGGAGCGCTGAGGTCCTGGAGGCTGGGAAGGCTTCAGATGCAGCAAAGGAACAAAGCACAGGGCTCCCTGACCACCTCCCCTAGTAGTGATGTGGCATGACACTGACAGGCCATGATAGGAGTTGCATCCAGCCCTAGGAGCCCTGACATGTTGCTCTGCCATCCCCTGGAACTGGGGTGAGGCAGAGCACATGAACAAACCAGATTCCGTCAGCAGGCTAGCTGCAGTGGTGCTAACATCTACGTTTAAATAAGGAGACACAGGCTAGGTCTACACTACAATGGGAAAAGGTACGCTAATTGCCGTTCACAATTTATCTTTTTCTATTTTTCATTCTAAAAAGTCTTTTCCGAAATTTGGCCTATCTATACAGGGCCAAATTTCAGAAAAACCTCCTCTTTCCACACATCCCGTCTTCCTCATACAGTGAGGGTTACTGGGATGGTTAAAACACATCTGCTTTTTTGGAAATAGTTCCAAAAAAGCAGACAGATTCCTTGGACGCAGCATAGCTTTTCCAAGTTACCTCCAGTATCTCAGAAAAGCTCTGCAGTCTAGACATAGCTACAAGGAATTAGCACCAGGGACCTGCCCAAAACCCCACTGAAGCCAGTGGAAAGATTCCTAGTGATGTCAGTGAAGTTTAGATAAAACAGTAATTGGCCCAGTCGGCAGCAACTCATGTTTTCTGAATGCCTGAACACATTCCTTGATACAAGCCTCAGTATCATTTTTCTGTCAGCGAGGTCACTGCGCTCTCATGTTCTATAGCTGTGAGGAGATCTCTGCTGTGGCAGCACTACTACCCAGGACCTATATCAGCAGTTTTCAAAATACAGGTCACAACGTTGTATTGGTGGTGGAATGCCAGGCACTAGGTCTCGTTGCTGCAGGCGGATCAGGTGACCAATGGAGGTGTTAATGTAACTTCCACCAGTCAGATTTGAACCTGGGACCTCTGGAGCTGAATATAGGAGCCGTTATACTGTGAGCTAAAAGCCAGCAGGGTCCCAGTCCATGCTGTAGAAGTCTCTTGATCTTAGCTGTTGCTGTGGTCTAGGTACCACTGCATTGTTCAGTGAACCACACTAGGGCTATGTCTAGACTGCAGGCTTCTTTCGAAAGAGGCTCTTTCGAAAGATGCTTTCGAAAGAGCCTCTTTCGAAAGAAGCCTGCAGTCTAGACATAGCCCTAGTGTGGTTCACTGAACAATGCAGTGGTACCTAGACCACAGCAACAGCTAAGATCAAGAGACTTCTACAGCATGGACTGGGACCCTGCTGGCTTTTAGCTCACAGTATAACGGCTCCTATATTCAGCTCCAGAGGTCCCAGGTTCAAATCTGACTGGTGGAAGTTACATTAACACCTCCAATGGTCACCTGATCCGCCTGCAGCAACGAGACCTAGTGCCTGGCATTCCACCACCAATACAACGTTGTGACCTGTACCGGGGACCCGCTCCCTGCCTCTGCCATGAGCACTAGCTCCACAGTCCCATTGGCTGGAAACCTGCTGCAGGCTCCTTTTGGGGTACAGCATGGTCTGGGTAACAGCAAAGGCAGCAACCCTAGCTTTGCATCTCTCTTGCACTGCCTACCAGAAGTTGCTTACGCAAACCGTGATGCACCCAAAGCCAAAGCCCCTCCAACACTCCAAAATTCTCATCCTCAGCCCCACCCAGGAACCCACATTATAGTAAAATTATGTGGGGCCATGGGCATCAACAATTTTCTTCAACAGGGCCACGTGAAAAAAAGTTTGAAAAGCGCTGACCTAAACAAGGGTGACGAGCACAGAATGTTTATTCTCAGTCACCCCGATGAGTGGCATTTCAGTCCTTCATGACAGAGTTGCCCAGGACCTAGGGTGGGCGGGGGTCGAGCTTCTTTATTTTAGCTAGTGGGGCCCTTCTTGGTTCTGTGCATCTGAATCGAGCACCTGAATTTTCATCTAAGCCAGATTCGCATATTTCCACCCAAGTGGTATTTCTCTGCTGCTCTGAGCTGTTATAAATCCCCGATGAGTGGCATTTCAGTCCTTCATGACAGAGTTGCCCAGGACCTAGGGTGGGCGGGGGTCGAGCTTCTTTATTTTAGCTAGTGGGGCCCTTCTTGGTTCTGTGCATCTGAATCGAGCACCTGAATTTTCATCTAAGCCAGATTCGCATATTTCCACCCAAGTGGTATTTCTCTGCTGCTCTGAGCTGTTATAAATCATCCGCTGTTGTTGGTTATGGCTTGGTGTAACGCGGGAGCCCGTCCTGCTCCCCTTTTGACGTCCTTCTCACCACTTGTGCTCCTCCGCTTCCCTCCTCCTCGTGCTGCGTGCCTTTCCCCCCGTGCCCTGCGCCTCCTTCCTCCTCTGTTCTCCTCTCCTCTCCTCCTCCGCTCTTTCTCCCGCCTCCGCTCTCTCCTCCTTGTCCGCTCCTTCCTCCTCCACTCGCTCTCCGTCTCCCTCCTCCCCTCCTCGCTCCTCCGTGCTCTCCCCCTTTCCTTCCGCTCCCTCCCCCTTTTGAATTCCCCGCCGGCGTCCGGCCCGGGTGACGCAATGCGCCACGTCACCAGGCTCCGCCCCCGCCGTGCGCCTGTGCCCGGTGACGTCAGCCGTCACGTCGCCGAGGCTCCGCCCGCGCCTCACGTTACTGTCCGGGCGTAGCCCCGCCGCGCCG